TGACTTACTTTCGCAAACTACGTCGCCTTCCAGCCATTGACAAACTATTTAGAAGGATTGCACTTCGGTCACGATAACTTCCACGACCAGATCCTCGATTACCTAAAATTTTGATTCCCCTAACTTTATCAATTTTAAGTGCAATTAACGTTGACAAGTGAATAACTGCTTCCACTAAAGCTTGTTTCAAATATAACTTAAAAATAGCAAACCTACTGTAGGTTTCCGTGGTTCAGATAAAACATACCTGATGACGATTGGACATCTCCAGGTAAACTACCAAAAGCAGCTAGAACTTGTGTTTCTGTTGGCAAGCGTTTCATTGTTAAAAATGCGTCCGCGATAGCTGCATAGAAACTTCTTGCTACACCACTTCCTTCTCCAGGTTCATTTTTGAAAGTAACTTTTACCTAAAATGAGGAACAAACTCAAGCAGAAACGACAAAAAAACAATATTATGATTTTCAAGATTTCAAGTTCATGTTTCAACGAATACCAAAATCGATATACGAGTTATTCAAATATCAATGTCCTCTGTAGCAATCAATGCTGCCTACCTCAATTGTTTTAACGAACTGCAAGAAAATTGAACCTTATGGCAAGCAAGGGGAGGTGCATCAGTGTCGTCTTTATTACTAGCGTTAGCCCATGAAAGATTAACCAGTCTGACTGATCTTATAGAACCAAATTCTCGAGGGGAATCCGTACTGTTACTTTGTGTTGAATTCACCGATGATGAATTGTTAACACGACGCGAATAATGCACATTCAATTGACGAATTGTCTGTGCAATCATTTCATGCTTATCTCGTTCGATCTAAAGATATATGTGGAATGTGAAAAGTAAAAAAGAACTTATTTCTATGTAAAGCATTTTACAACATTAGCTCTGTCACTATTACTAACTATTTTCTTAAATGCCTTTCAGCCACCCACCAGAGATTTTTTTATACAGTTTTTCCATTTTAATAGAAGTGAGTAGCGAAATAAAGTTGAAGAAACCTCAAGCATTTACACTATTTGTTCGTCTACTATAACTAGACGTCCAAACTAATGACAGTTGCAACTAAAATGAGAAAAAAGTTTTGCAAATCTATATATGGTGTAGTGAATGGCTTATAATCTTATTATTATCCACGTGTTGCTGGCTAGTTACTTTTACATTAAAGTAAAGGTTCCGAAGAAATCAATTTCGTACTCTGCCGATCAATTCAAGACCTCCTGTCTCGAATTCTACTTCTTTTACAATATTTAACTTCTCTACTCTGCTGCAATTTGTTGGATTAAGCCATGAGTCTACAAATATTCATTTAACTTGATCCTCTGTTTAGATGCGAACAAACCTCGAAAGCAATATCCTTGGTTTGTGCTGCTTTGAACTTTTCCATCTTCTTACGGAATTGCGCTTCACGCACCAAAAAACCAGCCATTTCATTCAAAAGCATTGAACTCGTAACTTCACCACCACAAGCGATTAGAAGTTGATCGCTAAATGCCTGAAAAGTCGCCAATTTAAGTTCGAATTACAAAACTCCCAAATAGTCTCATTTCTCTGCAAAACGAATAGTAGAGCACACAAAAATTTATTATGAAGCTCCAAATTCAAGCAAATACGAAAATTAAGAAAGCAACATCTAGCAATTCTCTGGTACATCTTGAGCATGTTTAAACATTGCTTACCTTTGCCATCAAATTTAGCGTATTCTTCCAGCGCGCCAATGATTTGTGCACCTGGCTTTGATTACTACGATGCAATGCAGTTTTTAAACTTTCCAAATGTATTGCAGCAAAACCACGTGGTGGTGGGACAGTAGATGATGAGCATAATCGCCGACGCTTTCCTAAAATTTTGAAATCACGAAGTCATAGTAAAAAGCATGGAAAAAATTTACGCATAACAATTCATAGAAAAATTCCCAACCTTGCACGACCGTTTCATTAGATACATTCTTCGAATGCACAATTACATTTGGACGTGAAAGTCCACTTATCGGCACCTCTTTCTCTTCTGCAAGATCAAGATAGAGCATAAAACTAACTTCACTGATTTATGTGATTTTTCCTAATCATGATCAAAATCGCAAAATGATAATCTACAAAAAAAAAACAGTGGAAGACAAACCACTTGTATTTATGGGTAACATTTCCTGATAATTCGACCATGGGGCAACTAATCCTTGATGAGCTGGATACTTTGCACCATGTTCTCGAACACTTTTCTGCAAGTAATATGCATCGCTTGAAATATAACATGCTTGAAATTTTATGCCAACAACATTTATAAAGAAAGCTCTGCATCGAAAATTAGAAATAATTATCAAAGCATTTGGTAGGAATAAATGAAAGGTATTATAAATTAATACAGTATGCCATTATTATTAATTTGGCAAAAACAAACCCTATGCTCACAAGTAGTCTTGTGCTTTATCGGTAACCCAAACATTTCCTCTTTTTCAATATCCGGTCTCAAAAGCTGTGGACGCTCGGCCAATGCCAAAGAATCCGCACATTTATGCTCAAATGCATGATAATTGGATGACGATGCAATACCCGGATAAAGTAGTGAATTAGAACGCTAAAACCAAAATTTAGATATTGAAATATGTCTAAAATTTTGAAAAAATAGAATTCGGGCAAAAAAATTTGCACAACGTGAATTGAGCACCTGGAAAAAATCGGTCATCAATGCGCCTGCTTGTACACTTGGCTTGCCGCCGTTAGCAGTCTATAATCAAAATTAATGAAGAAGACATTATTCTGCAATTTCTTTAAAACCAATGAAAAGTCAGATAAAGTAAACAAAACACAATTGAGAACTTTATTCAACATTTTTTCAACTCTACGATTCAAGCCATTTTTTTCTAGCAATAGCAAAGCCCAGATAACTAACGGAGGTTTCATCATTTTGAAACATATCGATGACTTCTTTATCATTCGCAGTGCTTTCAGTCGAGTTTAATCCTAATGCAATCCTGGCGTCTAACTTTTCCAGCATATCAGTTAACGATAAATATGCATCTGCCACAAAAGCTAAGGCTTTCAATGCATTGAATTCGATAATCGGGACATCATCACCATTTTCAGAAGCATGAGAACGCATCAATGCCGTTATATAGTCAAAGAAATCCTCCAGTGATGCTGTCGAGTCTGAATTTTGTTCATCTGGAATTTTTTCTGCTGCAATTGCATAGAACGCGAGAAATTAAACGCAAAGGTGTAGAAACAAAGCTTAAAATTAAATGTGAAAATATAAAATTCACCTTTCTTGCTATTTGCAGCCGCAGATCCAGCGGTATAATCTTGTCTAGGAACCGGCGTACTGGAATGATTTCCTGATCCAGGTCGAGGACTGTGTCTTCTGAAAAATAAAAGTCGCTACAGTTCGGAACAAATCCAGAAACGGAGAAAAGATATGCAAACATACTCAGTGTTACGATCATCACTTTTTTTAGGCGATAGTTTCTTCTCTTTACGAAGTACAGCAGAAATAGTTGGTGAAGCCATCAGTGCATTTCCAAAACGCAGTTGTGCTTCAGTTCGATCTAGAACTGTTTCCATCCAGTGCCACACAACATAGAGACGCTCTTCTATCAGTCGCTAAATGCAATTAAACTACATGCATAAAACATATAAAAGAAATGCAACATTTGCAGTAAAATCTAAGATAAAAAAAATGTCCAATAAATTTTACTTCTTTATTTTTGTTTCATCTTTTTAATAAACCCGGTTTTTGTTTTTTACGTCTCATAAAGAACTGGAATATAATCTTACACGAACTGCAACTACAACAGCATCATTCAACTCCAACATTTTTGGTATAAGTGTATACGAGCTTTTCACATACTCTCGGTGATCCACAAGCATTGGCATTAAGTCCACAATCAACCTTAAAAACAATATCATTATTAACTACTGCAAAATCAGTTTTCTTCGTTGGTTTTTTTAAAAATCCTCAAAATTTGAAAAAGAAATATAATAAGGGAATTTCAACAATGAAATCCACAAATTTCAATAATAACAAAAGAGGTAAAACCAATGAATAAAATAACTACTCCTAAATCAATTTTCAACCTGATAATGATTGAAAATGACAAAGCAAGTTGCTGGTTTGTTTTAGTTACTGAAGTAGCAGCATCTTCCGATGATTCTCGCAAATGCCTTGAACTTGACAAAGAAGTTGTGTTCGATTCTAAAATTCAAAACGACTTCAAAGTCATTTTGGTAAAGTATAGTCCAGAAAGAGGCATGAGTCTTAAAAAAGATTTATTAAATTCTGACAAAATCCGATGTTAATTACACTGAAATTTGCAAGTTATCAAGAACCATGGAATACTTTCGATATAAATGAGCCCTGACTGCCTGATATAATTATTCACAAAGTTCCTAAATCATTCAGATAAAAAAAAAGAAACCCCGATTTTCGTTGTCGTCATTACGTCGTGTTGCGGTCGGTCGTTCAATATTCGAGGCCATACGACGCATTGCCCATTGCAGAGGTATTGCTAAAACTATAACAATGTAGTCGAATTACAGGAATAAGAAAGAATTCTTGAGAGTTTCAGCATCCCTCCAGAACTAGTAAATGGCAGATTACCACATGCACAACAAGTATAATCGCCGTATTTGCCATTGAACAGTTTAAAGCAATATACAAACACATTTCATAAAATGAAAAAATATTAATCAAGAAAAGAAAGAAATGAAAAAACGAAAGTTCTGAGCAGGTATAATAAAAATAAATGAATGTTCAGATTTATTGTTTAAGATCAATAAAATACGTTACTGTTATGTCTCCCACTCGTTACACCGGATACTCTTGCCGATGTAGCATCAGTACTACGATTCGCATTGCTCGCTTCATTATCTGAAACAAGATAACCGCATTCAATGAAAGGAGAATGATATATCTAACTCAGGTCATATGAATCAACACCAAAAGAAAATTATACTTCTGACACGCTGCTGCGATACATTTTGAGACTCTGTACGTGGTGCTGCATCTTGCTGTTGTTCACCAGGTAAACTGTTCGTACCTCGAGAGTTCCGCGATTGGTTCTGTAGGAAAATATTACTAGTAAGAAAACCTCGATTTACAAAATTCATAAGTGCAAATTTTAAACCATGTTTTTTGATTAAAAGGAATATTTAGTGCTGGGGATATAACAAATTTCACGTCTAACTAAACAACTTGATAACAATTCTTACGCACAACGACAATAAAGTATAAAAGGTAAAATTTGAAACAAACCGTTCTACGTTCATTCGGTCGTATGTGTCGTGATCGCATATCTGTAAAAATTATTACATTAGGCGGAAAGTGCAAATAAAAGGAAAATCGTAAATAAAAAACCAAACGCAGTGAGAATGAGGCAAAATGGTAACCATATGTTCCATCGATAGTACCATCACGACTTTCCGGTACATCATCTTCCTCATTTGGCTCCACCTGCATTTCCTCATCCTCACCATCACCATTTCCCTCTTCGTTACCTTCATGTTCTCCTTCTTGCTCATAACGATCATTTTCATTTTCATCACCTTCTTCGTAATTGCCATCGTCTTCCTCATTTCCGAATTCCTGCTCTAAATTTCGGTAACACAGTTTTCGTTCTGCATCATTTTTCTAATTCAACAAACTAACAACATCAATCATAAATATGTACAGAATTTGAAATGTTAACGACACAGAAAAACAAAAGTGATCAAGGGAAATAGACAATTTACCGTCTCCATCATCACCATTCCCATCATCGTCATTTTCCTCATCTTCTTCGTCAATATTAGGATCATTACCCTGACTAGTTGGATCGTCATCTTGCTCAGCTGGTGAACTAACTGATTCAACTGAGTCATCCTCCGGATCCTCCTCAGACATGCTGAATAGCTCGTCGCCATCATAATTACCGGATGATGCTTCTGAAACAATCATATTTGCTTTAAAATAATTTTTACACTATGAATTTCAAGAAAATCTCATTTACTCACAATTTTGATTAGAAGCCTACCAGGTAGATGTCAGATAGATATCTATAATTCTAAGAACCAAATGATCAGTCAGAGTAACGTAGTACCTTTAATATCTGCTATCGATGCAGTTAAAAAAATAAAGAGTAAATTTGAATCTCCTAATGAAGTCCACGAATTCGATCTGCCTCCCTCCCATCCTCCCTCCTCCCATCCTCCCCTTAACGAACACTGCATAATCAGCTAAGCTGGAAGAATTCCTCACTCACAGCCTAGGTATTAATATTTTGCCATATAAAGATGTTTTGGTCGAACTTTTTTATAGCTAATAAAGTCTAAAGCAAAGATTACCCACCGTTTCGAAGTGCATTATACACCTCACCAACATAACTCTGACTTCGCGTAGGACGCGACTCTAAAAAAGGTTTATAACCGAAATTTACAACAATGCTTGAGTAATCAATTTGATTAAACTTATTCGGATTGTACTCTAAATAGATTATTCGATTAATCCTCAAACAGCGACAGAAAATATTTTATTTAATTTAAGCCCAAATAAAATCTACCATCACTATCCGAATCGCTTGAATTGTCACTTTCTGGTGTACTACGCGGTTGCGGGGCTTCTCGCATTTCTTCATCACCATGATCTCCTTCTCGCCGTGTACTACGCTAAATTGTCTTTTGAAATATCATTAGACTATCATATTATAATAAACAATTGACTCTTCATGTTATTTGGAAAAAGAAAATTCTTTTCCTTCTCGAGAAATTGTTAAGAACACAACTGCCTGAATAATTCAATGTGCTGAAGTACTACGAAGTTTAAAACAAAAAATGAACAAAAACTACCTTTCGTTTTCGACCGAATTTGGCCATAGCAAGTTCATCGCCAGCAGTACTAATTGTTGATAAATCGACTTTTGTATTCAGAAACTTTTCTATCACCTGCAAATGTTGTGTGCATGGAAAAAGAAACATTATCTGATATTATGAAAAAAAACAAAGGAAATTAAGATCTTTTTATATGACAAAACAAAACTAACATCGAGAGGATCGTTGGTAATATTCTGAGCAATAACTGAAGTAGGTTTGATTATTCCAAGTCGTACAGGAGCGATTAAAGAATCAGCCATATTGCACAACTCGTTGATCGAGTAATTCAATAAAGTTTGAAATATGCGGCGACATTTCAATACAAAATTCGTCACGCTAAAATCAAAGATCTACTTTCCTTCATTAATAAAAAAAAGAAAAAAAAAATTGGACGAAATCATTAGCTCAAGAAAGTAGGACTAACTTTTTCTTTTTGGCTTCTTTAGCAGCAGAACTTTCACGTCCACTTGTCGACCGAACGAGCGACAATAAACCAGTAAAGCTGACAGCATGTAAGCCAGGACCAAAAATTCTTCTGAAATACATAAAATTCTTCCACCATAATAATTTGATTTGAGTAACAAGATTTCCAACGGAGACCAAATTGATAATAACAAACCTTGGTGGGCTGTTACCAGATGCTATTACTTGTGCAATGCCGCTTGCTGTAGCTGTAGCAACTGTGATGGCTGCTGGTGACAATAACGTTAAAAGCATGAACATCCTTAAAAATAAAAAGTTGAACGTAAAAAGCATGAAACTCTACATATCTACTAAAATGACAACATTATTTATGACAAAACTGATTGTTACAAACCTGATAACTGCGCGCACAAAACGTGAAATTACAGAATCGATGTCAGGATCTCTTTTCATTTCTTCATTGTTTTTATTTGCTTCTGCTATCAGTGTATTCAGTAGAGTATCGATATGCTAAAATAATAATTAACATCAAAGGCAAATTTCTCCTAAATTATTCCCAGGTGCACTAAGTATCTCCATCTTTCTTATTAGCTTCTGTATCCTTTTCAATTTCAACTTACAGTTTCTGAGCATTTCGCCAACAAGATAAAAGCAAATTTGTCAAGATGTGAACATCCATGTTGCTGATTTAAATGAAACACTTCTTCCACTACCAACGCATCGCTATAACATTTTAGTCAAAATTAGAAAAAATTTAAGAAATTTGAGAACAGCCTACATTTATGTATAAAATATCGCTTACTTTTGCACGCCTTTAACACCCAACATTATCAGGCTTTTAACAGCACGCCAATCAGCTAGCAATTTTGCGAAAGCAGTACGTGCAAATTTCGGCGGTTCCAAATCGTGTTCCGGAGTTGTGTCTAGAAACGCATATTGAGAAATAACCTAATTATTCCTACCGAGCATAAGAGATAAATTTAAAACATGAAAAATAAATCAGAATTAAAATTAGAATAAACACAACCGACCACTTGTTCCTTGAGATTTCTTCATCATTCGACGTTGATAATGTTCTTGTTCAATGATTTGTCTGCCTACCGTTCGTGCCAAGAACAATAACAAATGTTCTCCTCTGCAACCACAATACAATCAACATAAATGGGCAGAAAAAAGTATTCAATTATAATTAAAAACAAATGGAATTCCAAAATCCTTTTTTCATTTTGAACAAATATAAACAAAAGATGATTTGACGTTTCTCTTATTTTATGAAATTAATCAGTTACTACTTATTCTCAGTCCTCAGGCGGGATTCACAAAGTGGATCAAATCGCTACTTGAATATTTGGACTTGGTCAACAACTGGTTCAAGCCATTATTTGCGAACAATAAAAACCTGTCACAGAAAATATACCTAGAATTAGTACGATGAATGAGATCGGTGCTATTGAGCAAAACAGATATCAACTTTTCTCGACGTGGTGTATTACCTGCAACAAGGGCATGGC